TATCTTTCAAGCTGCAAAGTTTGTTTAGAATCTTGTGAAAGGAAACGAGATATCTTTTTAAAGATATTTAATCATGATACAAATAAAAGTTGAATATTTTTTTGTATTATATGATTTGATTTAAAGCTTTGATCATTTCTAGAAATATCAATAACATCATCTAGGATAATAACATACGGTTTTGTGGAAGGAAATGGAATATGTTCGGATTTTACAGAAAATGTTGAAAAAACTTAATAGCCTTAGAACTCTTCAAAACAGTGTTGTGCAAGTAGAATCCTGCAGGAATGCGAACAGAATACCAGGAAAGCTTTTTCCAAGTGATTCAAGCGGAAGTGCATGGCCTATCCCTCCTCATCGGGGTAGTGTATCGAATGCCTGAGAAGTGCACAATTTACGGCATTGCCAAGAGTGTTTCAGTGGGTCATTCGATTGCTGATGCACTCGGAGAATGGCTTTTTTGGTGAAGAAGCATCATTCTCAAAAGTAAAAATATTATTACGAAGAATGTAGGAAAATTTCAAGTGAAAACCTCTTATCTCAAACGTTAATCTGATCTTGCCCTTGAAGAACTGTGTAGTCTGACATTTTTCATAGCTTATTAACAAAAACGTTTCAAGATTGCCTCACCTTGATTCATGAATGAGCAATTCTGCCGTTGTGCTCTGATGTTCAGCCATCAGGCTTTTCACGGCCTGACCTTGTTTCAGTACTTCAAACTCATATGCTTGGAACAGGATTAAAGATCCCCTGCACATCCATTGTATGTTATGACTTAGAACTGGGATAAAAAACCAAGGAGCTAACACAATCCCTTTTCATTGGTCATAAGTTTGATTGCGTTTCATGTTTTGTATTTACAAAGTTGTATTTTCAGATACAAGCATTTTATTCGGAGTTTACACTAAGCAAGAGTTTCTATGTAGACAATATGAAAACTAAAAGAATAGTTTATTTGGAGATGACTATAAGCTAAGAACATACTTAAAACAGTGACAAAAAAATGTTTTAAATTATTATTTTTTTATATCTTGTCTTATATTAAATTAAAATCTAAAAAAAATGATTTGAATTTAAAATGTAGAATATAACTAAACAAATATATAGTGCCATTACTATATTATATTCATAGAGTTTTATTTTTATAAGTTTTAATTATAGTCATTTATCTTAGATTGAAAATTAATAAAAGATACATAGATTAATACTCAATAAAGTAATAAATCATTATTGAAGTTTTCAAATATTTCTTAGTAGTTTGTATATGTTTATATATATATATATATATATATATATATATATATTAGTATGATTATAGTAGTAATACACTGATAAAGCACACACTAAAACTACATATTTGATAGAATTTTCCAATATTATAAAGTCTGATGAAATTTCTTCTTTAAAATTGGAACTAAAAATAAGACTTTAAATTCCATTATTAAAAAAAATACAGTGCTCTTTGTTAAAGTTTTTACTTATTTGTTGCAAATTTTATAAAACATAGTATTTAGATAAGACCATAACTGATAGATTGCATTTTTTATTATCATTATTATTATTTTATATTTGAATTATTTTTTAAAATTTTACTATTAATAATTTATAGTAAATAGTATATAATAAATATTGATAAGTATTAAGATTAACCATTAAAAAATATTAAAAAATTAAAGTACTTAATATTTATTCATATTCAATTGTACAGCATTGTCTTACTACATAATTTTACCATGCATTAATTTGTTTTATCTAAATAAAGGTAAAAATATATGTAATTAATTATTTAAAATACTATTTTTTTCTATTTTCTTATTTATATAATTACATTATATATTGATAATACTACCTTCAAAATATTTTTGTAAGATTTTATTTTTTAAATAATACTGAAGTACACATTTTTATTTTATTTTTATACTATTCTAGTCATTATATAAGATAATTTTTATTAACTGTCTTAGTTTAATTTATAACTATCTTTTTTACCATGATTTACATGCAAGTTTTTACAAGTATTTTATATACAATCTTTATTAAAAGATTATGAAATAAGGTTATGTTTTTTTAAACTCTATGGAATTTGTGTCTTTAAATAAAAGAAAAGAAAATAAAAATCTTTTAGTTTTTTATTATTTAAATATGTAATATGATTTGTGTATATTTTTTAAGAACTATTATTTATTTTTTATAAAAATTGTAGGCTTAGCAATAAAGAATACAACATGTAATAAAGAATATTACATGTTATTAAAGACAAATGTTAAGAACTCAATCAAGAGTGCTATAGAACCTACTCTTGCATGCCAATCTAGAATTGCTATTACACAATTTCTTTAGCAATGATTGTTACATCATTCTTATTTTCAACTTAAGGTCAATTCTCCACCATGGTTTTGGATTTTAGTATCTAAAATTAAATATGACATTTGAGATTTAATTTTTGTAGTTTAAGATTAATATATATGATTAAGGATCAAAATTTAAAATTTAAATTTAAAATTTTATTTACTAAGATATAAAAATATGATTAATTGAGTTTTAAGATTATTATTTGCATATTGGGATTTCAAATTTATGGTTGAAATCAAAATTTTGTATTAAATATATTTTAATCTTATCAAAAAACTATTAGTTGTAGATAAATTATTTAATCAATATCTTAAGATTAGAATCAAAATCAAGGTTATTGTTTAGCATTCCAAAATTGATATTGTTAGGATTGAATTAAGATTTTAAAATTAATTCAAAATTTGAAGTAAAGGTCCTATATAGGTAGATGTCCTCAAAATTTTTATGAGAGTGTAAGACATTATTATGTTATCATATACTTTGTTTTAAATTATATTTTTACTAAATTTAAGCAAGTATTTTAGCTCTATCATTTATGTAATCCTACTTGATTTTATAATATGTTATGTTTAATTTTTTTATTTTTTAGTTCTATTTCTGATTAATAATTTATATAAAAGAATCAATTGTATTAGATGCACAAACAAAAAAAATATCATAATATAATTTTAAAAATCCAAAACATAAATTAAAAATATAAAAAAATTATATATATATATATATATTTATAAATTTAGTGTTATATATATATATATATATATATAGTCAAATCAGTAAATTATATATATTTTTCTGTTTATGTCAAATTGATTTCTATACATTTCACTTAAAGTCTAATTCTTCTTATTAGATTGCTTTTAAGGTAAAATATTATGAGTTTGCCATAGCTATTTTTAAATGCAATTTTAAAAAATTTTAAAATTATAATTAATGTTGGCCATTATTAAAACTTCACAGAAAAAAAATATATTTTTGAATTATTTTTTTTAAAAAAAATGGCCAAGTCAACCAAAAGATAAGTAATTAGATTGTTGTTGATGTCTTTTATTAATTCTTCTATTGAAGTAGAGATGATTCCCTTTGATACCAATATACACTTGCCATTATAAAAATTTTACCTTAATTATAAAAGTATTGTTGTTTTTTGTAAGTAGAAGAAGACAACTTTAGAAGATGGCTTCAGATAGAGCCTTTAAAATTTTTTGAAGCTATCCTTTAATGCCTCCAATTGAAACTTTCCATAAGTTATTTTTTATTTCCCTCTTATCTTCCTAGCAAGTTGAATCCCCCATTTGTTTTTTGCATGTCGTCTCTCATTGGCATACCAATACTTTGATGAACTATTAGCCTCATTATCCTACTTTAACAGCTCACATTGATAATATTGTTCATGTCACCTCAACAAATTGAACCTTTACTCATTTGACATGCCTTAATATAATTTAATTTAAAAAAAATATACATATTAAACATCCATTATCTGCTGTTTATTTCATTTCTTATACGATTTTTTTAAATATCCATATTTTAAAAAATTGAAAAAAATCTCTACAAAGAAAAGAAATTATATATATATATAGGAGACAAAGAAAATTAAAAATGTCTCTTCATCATCAAAGACAAAGGTACAAGTTGTTACATTCCACAATTATGTTGTCCTAGAAAGTAGTGTAGAAAAATCACTTTCATTATTTCATGGGGACTTGTTGGAAAGAAAGGATAGATTGCTCTGAAACTTTCTATCCAGTCATCCTGTCCTTCATTGCACACAATCAACAATGACAACAACAAGAGGAGAAAATAATAATAATAATAATAAATGATAATGAAATTACTTGGATGGATGTTAATGTTCACAAGGATGAATTTAGTAAACGAAAAATGTTGTTTATTACACAAGGCTTGCTCTTGAAAAGAAATCACTAAAAATTTAAGAATAAATACATTGTTCAATCCAAAAAGCTACAATGTATTTAAGAATAAATACATTGTTCAATCAAATAATCAATCGAACGAACGATGAGAAGAAGAAGGCGATTGTTTTTAGCGGCTGTGCCCAGTGAGCACGGCCAGTTGCAGAGGAAATCCGGATATGGCGTAATTTGAAGGAGTACAAGAGAATACACAAGCTAAGCTTTAATTCACTTAGTTACACCGAGAATAGAGTTGGTTTAAGTACTGTTTGAATAGTGATCACCGAGCTGGATCTAATCCAGGAGAACAGCAAGAGAGGTAAAAAGAACAGGGCAGCACAGACTCTACTAGGGTAAGTATAGCGCAAGTAATAATTTCGTTCACATTAATGAGCACTAGGGGTAACGAAGACTTGCAGCTTTCAATCACGAAAGTCGCAAGTGGGAGAGTAGGACCCAAATATAACCCTGCAACGATCTGTTCGACTCTGGATTCCTTCCCTACCTACTGCCCATGCAGATGTTGCAACTCCTTAGAATCACGGTGGGGCCTCCCATGATGTCGTTGCAAGGATGACACTGGCGTGCCTCCCCCGTACCGCTCCCTCCTCGCTCTACAAGTTTCTGGGTGCCGTCGTGGGGCCACCACCGGATGTAGTTAGTAAGTGTACGCAAATTACCCACCCTTAAGGCTGGCCCTGAACTGCACCAACTATCTCCTGAAAAATCTTTATAAATTTCTGCTCAAGGAGGCCCATTCAGTCCACACAAAGTTCTTGTTCCTGGGGAAGTGGAACATTTCGCACTCACCATCGTTCCAGTATTAGTTTGAAGTTCCAGTGTGTCTAATTGTGTGATACGAAAGCAATCAGGTGGCGAGGATCTGTAGAACCACCATGTCAAATCCAGGGGCGAGTGTTGCTGAGACAATCGTCAGTGAAGAGCATGGAATGGCGGAGGAGAGGGTTGTGGATCAAACTGCAGGTGATCGGTACCGCGATCATTTGTGTGGCGCGGGTGAGGAACGGACTGCTTGGAGACATGGGAGCGCTCCACAATACGATGTTGTGAACGCTCTGTTTGAGAAAGGGCGCACTCAAGTAAGCTCCGTCGTTACACTGGATAACTATGCACAGAATAATTCTCTCTGGCTGTATAAACAACATTTCAAGTCTCTTTGAGAAACGACTTATAAGTTGTGTAGGTTTCAAGTAAGCCGTTGACGAAGTTGAATTGCTTGACAGTACTATGATCGCATGACTGTCAGAAGAGCAAGCAATGCGTATATATATATATATATATATATATATATTCACACACACACACAGCTTCTCTTTCCATCGTTATAGGAATCTCAGTTCTCTGTTCTGTTCTAGATCGAATACCGGTGAAACGGACCAAAGAGCGATGCATAAGAAGTCGCAGATATTCTCAGCATTTTCTGTTCTGTGTGTGCTCAAATTTACGTTATTTTATCTCTTCTGTGATTGTCAGGTGTGGCCGAAAGGATCTCTTGAGGAAGTGGTGCAAAACCTGGTGAAGACTTGGGAGATGGAACTCTCTCACAAGATCAAAGTGAGCGACTTCAAGACTATTGACCAAGAGAAATTCCGCATCTCTGTAAACGGTGAGCTACTTAAATCTCCGCGAAGGATTACACAGAGAAGGTTGAAGTTATTTGTCACTTAGCTACCCTAGGTGCTGATGAAATGCAGCATGTTCCAACAAGAGTTACCGGGAATGTCATTGACAGGAGGCCCCAAGCTTTCTGCTGCCGAAACTCTACAAGTGGGCAGCTACAATGCTCTGCTGGCCACGAGTAGTGTCAACGGAGACGACGCGACGTACCAGGCTTCGAAGGAGACTTTTGAATCGTCACACGACATTTTCCGCACGGCGTTTCCAGGGGGGTTCGCATGGGAAGTCCAAGCTGTATACTCTCCTCCTCCGGTGGTGGTCATGAAATTCAGACATTGGGGAGTCATGGAGGGGCCTTTCAAAGGCCATGCTCCCACTGGCGCCGTGGTCGATTCAATAGGCATCTGTGTGGCTAAGGTATGCCCTACAGCACTTAACACTGATCGGCTTCCCCACCTTAGATCTCATGAGCTTCCACTGACAAACTCCTTTGCGCTTTGAACGTCACCTACTTCCTCTTCAAGTGAAAACTGCCGTCAAATCCGTATAATTCGGAGAAAAAGCTGCATTTGAATCAACACTCAACTTGTCTCTCACAATGATCCCCACAGGTAGACGAGAACCTGAAAATAGTGGAGCTCGAGGTGTACTACGACAGTGCAGCATTTCTCGGTGGCCTTACAAAAGGACCGAAAGCAGAGAGCTATACAGTGTACCAGAAGGGTACAGAGGGTTGTCCATACCTCAATCATGGCCGTCTCGAATAACATAACCAACATCTGTCAACCATGGTTCCCATCACTGCTGATATCTGACCGCATGATCGATGCAAGCCTGACGCCATCTCCTCTCGTCGAGGCACAGGACTGAAGCTTGTGAACTTGGTAGACCCGCCGCACCGACTCTAGGATGGCCTAGCTTCAGTAGCTACTGATACCCGGATGGGAACAACGGAGTGCGTGCCCCGTTTCCACATCCGGGTATAATAATGGACCACTCACTGGGTGAAGTTATCTGGCAAGCGGATCCAGACCAAAAGGGAGGTAGCAGAGGCATATTTAGACTTTTCCTGTCAAATTGAATGCTTCTGCTGGATTTCTTCTTGTTCATCTTGTCAGAACCATAATTGATTCAATGGAAGGAACTCCGTTTCTTTGATGGTGTTCTGGGGTTTTCATCATATTTAAGTATCAAAGTGTTTGATTCATTTATTTAATGATAAAGATCAAATTCAACTATTTTTTGATAAGATTTTTATTAAGTTTGTTACTAAGCTGATGATTAAGAATCAAATTGGAGATTGACGACCAGTCACAAGGAAAGCACCTACAGATATTTTGGTTGTCAACGTGCAATTTTGATTTATTTATTTATTCTTTGTGTTTTTCTAGGATGGATGTAAAAAAGTATATCTTTTCTTGTAGGCTTTGCTTGGGTTGGGGTTATTGTAATGAAGTTTGGTCTTGAGATTTATAAAACATGAAAATCGAACTGTAGGTTCTTTTGAACAAATAGATAATATAAAGTGGAAGCCACAAGAAGAAGGAGAAGCAGAAGGAAATAAAAACCAAAAATCACGATTGTGATAGTTGAACTAAGAATAGAGAATCGTTTTTGAAATAAAATATTGTAAGGAGAATTATTCAATATGCATTAGGTTTAAGATGACAAAGGAATGCAAACTGATTTTTAAGATAAATTATAAGATTTTTTTGGCAACATTAAATAGGAATAAACCTTAGATCAATATAATTGGAGTAAAGTTTATGGGTTTTACTAATTTATAATCTAATTTTCCAGCACGTGGAAAATTCATAAGATAAATGATCAACAAGTTGTAAAGATTGATACAATATTTGGAATAGTTTTAAAAAAATATTTGCAAATCTTATATAGTTTCTAAAAAGAAAATTATTTTGATAAGTAGTAAAAATGAGTTAAGTAATGATAAATTTATCTTATATCAATATAAATCTTAAAGTCACTTTGTATTGGACTAATTTAGTTAAATCATGTATATAAAGGAATTTAATTCATAAGAAAAAGATTAAAAGAGAAGTGGCTTCAAAATTTATCTTTGAATTTTAGAAAATTGTGAATGCATTTACAATATTCTACAATCATTTATAAATAAATATTATGTATGATTGTTTTATCTTTTTTTTTATCTTTTTTTATCTTTTTTCTTTTGGATTAATTTTAAGGACTAATAATTATTTGTTATATTTTATGGACTTCTCTAAAGACTATATTAATAAGTCGACTTTTTCTTAAAAGATCACCACTACTTTCTATTAATACATTATAGGATATTGAATAGAAAAAATCTCTTACATCTTTAAATACTTTTAAGTAATTCAAATTAAAATAAGTGATACAAAATTAAGTTTGAGGGACAAAATCTTTCAACTACAAAAATATAATTATCTTAATTCTAAGGTTACTAATGGCCTAGTTAATTTTGGCTTCTACAAATTTTGAATTCTTTCTTATAACTATATTTAACTTGGCACTTACTATCAAGAATATACTTGAAGAAGTAATTAGGTGGAACTTTAGTTGCTAGAGGTCTTGGTTAGTTAAGCGAGTATTTCTATCAAAATAAAGAAGCAACTATCTATGATGATTCATTGCTGTTGATTTAATGGTTTATTGGGACATAAAAGTAAAGAGCCATTTGAGGGGCCTTCCAAAGTAATTCAGCAATATTGCATGACAACCCAAATGTGAGCATCCAATGTGATGCAAATGACAAGCAGTGAAGCAAACATGGTAAAGATGAGGAGGAAGTTGGACCAATAATAGGATTGCCATTAGGTGGAATTACCGAAGCACTCTAATTAGGGACAAAAGAGAAAGATGGGTGTGAGCTAAAATAAACCTCAACTAGTTGGAAGTTTATTCAAGTTCACCACAAGTGAATTAACTATGATTTTTTTTTATAGAAATTTTAGCTCTTGTTCAACACGGATTAAATCACTCTTTAATCTTCCTAAACCACCTATACAATCAAGCAAAACCTTTGCCACTAACTCACACTTACAATAATAAATCACTAAAACATTGCATGACTTGAGAATTTATTTTCTTTCTATTTTATAATTAAAATTCATCTAGTAACGAAAATCATCCATGAATGAAAATTCATTCTTGAATAGTCTTTCATCTACAAAATTTATCCAAATTAATTCATCCAAAACCTTAACCTAACTTCATCCAACTATAACCTAATTCATCAATTCCACATAAACCAAATTCTTGTCAATATTTTCATGGGATCTACATATTTATTGAATCCTCCTTTGTAATTTTCCTACAACGAAATCTGAGCACCCTCGTGTCCAGAGGTCGTGTACAGCCGGGGAACTCTCACTTCTTGAGAGCGCAGCTCCAACGTAGAGTCTGGCGACAAGGCTTGCCAAGCCGCAGCTGAAACTCCACTTCAGAGCGCCTCCCTTGCCGAGGTCCACCCCTCTAATCTACCTCCACGCAGTTTTCCCTGACTTGATGGAGCACTCACAACAAGATATTCTTTCCCAACGTCGCACTTGGACTACTGGCTCTTAGTCCCAGCCAATACTTTTAATCCTTGTGCAATTTTGATGTGATTCTTTGTACCATGTTGACGTTCTGTTCCTCGCAATTTCGGTGAGTTCCTGTAGGTTACGGAACCTAATCTACTTCCTGTGGTCTACTATGCAACTTCTAACTAAATCTGATCTAAATGGAATGTATAATAAGCTCCAACCTATCTGCTAGCTCTACATGTGCCTCCTGCTCCGCAACATGAGCAGAAATCTTTAGCTAGACCGCGAGCTTGTCCGCACTCCTTTCTTTGGTTACATTTTGCTAAAAACGACAGGTGCCTTATGCGATAGAGGTGGTATCAAGTACCTTACACATAAAAAAACAAGACATAGCATCAGATTGCCGAACTTCAACGTCGACGCAAGTGGCTCATGATATCTCTTCCGTGCAGGTTTTCTCGAATTGGGGACGGACAGGACTCCGAGGAATGACGACACTGCAATCACACAATCAAAGGCTCCGAAGAATCAAGCGTCCGTCACACGACAACTTTTGTTCACAAACTGATTAAGGAATATCGGAAGTGGTGAATCTGGAGATCCACGTTTGTATTGGATTTTGATGGTCTCGAGCACAAGGGGATTCAGTGCAAATTTCCCTTTCCGACTGCTGCAAACCGTTGTAGCCACCAACCACAGGAACATTGAAGGGAAAGGAAAAAAAAACAAGGACCGTTGACCTTCTCTTTGAGTCCAAGCAACACAGCACAAGCGACTCTAGAACAAGAAAAATAAATAAATAAATAAATGTAACGGCCTTGCCGCACACCTTCACCTCAACAGCAAGTGGAGAGCACACGATTTTGTTTGGTGACCAGATTGTAATCTAGATGTAAATCCAGCAACAACCCACATGATATCGAGCTCCTAGTTCGAGCGCAAGGCAGCGAAAGTCGCACGCCATCGGAACCAGGCCGGGATCAGGGCTGCTTATAACTAGTGCCCAGACGAGGAGGGAGGGAACAGCTGCAGAAGGGAAGATTGAGCGAATACAGCCACCGCCACCCCGCACACAGTAGGACAGTTTGATAACTCCGCAGCGCTATCAAGATCTTTTCGTAGATCCAAAGCTACACACAATGATAACTAGCTTCCCCACAACGGCACCACCACCTTTCTAACACCACACTCCAACCGCATCACCAAAAAAATGAGCTCCACGCTGACCCGCTCTGGCTCGGAGCTCCACGCTGATCACAAAAACAAGGAGGATACTGCCCCGCAGCGCCTCAACGGGACGAAGAAAACACCCCGCAGCCACACACACACACAAGGAAAAAACACAAAGGAAGAACTCTGTAGAAATTGGAGCCCGGAACTCATCACACAAAAAAACCAGAAAAAAGAAGGGAGGGATCTTGGGGGGGGGGGGGGGGGGGGACAACAAAACTGCCACATTCTTGCACCCTCTTCTAATATTGGATAACTTAAAAGAAAAACATATTTATTTTGGAATTTCATCTTACCCCAGGTTGCATATTGGCTAATAGCAATCTATTTCTTCTATTTATCTAAGAATTCCACTACTAACTTACAAAACCTATGATTAAATATAATAAGTGCATTTTTAGTGCTAAATATCCAAGTGAGTCAATTCCATGACTCACAACCGGAATGGACTACTTAAATGTGTCAACCTCATGACAAATGGAGCTACAACAAAAAAAAATTCTAGAAGACAACTATTATAGTTTTAGAGAGTCCAATCACCAAATAGAATATACAATGGTTCAAGTTGGTGACCATGTGAAAAAGGATGTTGAACATAGTACCAATATCATATTTTTTTTTCTCTCATGAAGTTGGAAAGACAAGAAATAAATATGATTTGTCCATTTAATAAAAGGAAATAATAGCCAACAAGTTATTAAACATAGAGAGCAAAATGCCAAAAAAAAACGTAGACATTAATCATATAAGATTTTCATGTAGCTACTAATCTAACATAAGACTTCTTGAATTCATCTTCATAGAAGTATCAATTTGTATTTAGTTCTCTTTAGTTTAATGGTGATGTTCTAGAGATAATATGTGTAAGTGTATTAGCATTGATTGCTCGTATGCTACTTTGGCCATATTGGGAGTAGTGTTATTGAGGTTTTTTTTGGAAGTAGGAAAAGTAGATATAGAACAATCTAAAGACGAAAACTAAGGCAAAAATTCACTCATCAATTTTGATTTTTTTCCAATATTTTTTTGATAATTAGAAATATTAAAAAATTAAAATAATTAATATCTATAGAAAAAAAAAGTGATTGCTTTAAGGAATCTTTGAATAAATTTGTAAGTATCTTAGATGTCAAGAATTTGAGGCATTTCCTCTAATCTATATTTTGGAAGAATTTACCAATAAAGTATAGATTGATTATTGAGATTTTAATGTGTAGATGTGTATATATGAGTATGTATGTATGTGATAATTATAAGTAACATAACTAATGTATGACATTTATTTCTTTGAGTGTAAATGTAGAAAGGAAAAAATCAATTAAAGGTGATGGATGGATCTGAGAAGGTTTGACATAGAGATTTCCTATTAGCAAGAAATGACCACATGTGTTTTGGAAGCAAGAAGCTTGTGTATATTTGAAGCTG